CTCACACTTTCTGTACCAGTCTCCCGGCTCGGCTCGGCTGGGAGTCTCAGCCCCAGGATCATCCAGGAGACCAGGGCTGTAGGCTCAGCTGAGGCTCGACTGGGGCAGGGTCTGCCTCCAAGACCGCGACCATGCACATGCTCTTGGCAGGATTCAGCTGGGCAACGGGTGTGGGCAGAGAGATATTCCAGAAGGAAGTGTCCTGTGGTCAGGATTGATTCAAGGCAGGGAGGCTGAAGGTGAGGGTGATAATTGGGGCCTCTGTCTATTGTGTGCTCACATGCACTCTGTCCTCGCTGCCTAGGTCACCTCCTGCATTGCCATCAGGTTCCTGGGGCTCTGCCCGGGACACTGGCTTGCCTGCACTTGGCTAGGGTAGCAGCGGTGGGAAATGCTCCTGGGTGAGGGGTGATATTCACTTTTTGTTGCCACTGTCACAAAGGACCACAAGCTGGGTGGCTCAAAACAACAGAAATGTATTCTCTGTCAGTTCTGAAGGCCAGAAGTCCAGAATCAGCAGGACTTTGAGTGGGCAGTTCCGTGCTCTGTCTGAAAGCTCTAGGAGGAGATCCTTCCTACCTCTTCCAGCTTCTGGTGGCTCCAGCAAGCTGTAGTGTTCCTCGACTCAGGGATGCTTTGCTCCGAACCCTGCGTCCATTTCACACGGCCTTCTCTGCGTGTCTCTGTCCGGTTATCCCCTGCTTGTGTAAGGACACCGGTCGTTTGATTAGGGCCCACCCAGATCCGGCGTGCCCTCATCTTAACTTGATGACATAGGCAAAGACCCTCTTTCCAAGTAAGGTTTATGCACAGGTGCTGGGTTAGGACTTCAGCATAGCTTCTTGGGGACACGGTTCAACCCACAACAAGGGGCGCTGGAGTGATTCTCCCTCCCCCTCTGAAGGTCAGGTGCCCACGGGGATAGGGGGCACAGTTGGTGTCTGCGGAGGTCTCGGGGACTCTGCCCCCAGTTTGTGGGTGTGAGGGGAGCCTGAGGGTGTGCTGTCACCAACAGCAGGTGGCGCTGTGACCTTCTTACTGCCGCCCTAGCAGGGCTCGGAGGCTTGGATTGGCGCTAGAGCAGACAAAGATCTCACCTCTCAGTTGCGAGGAGACAACACTCAACTGTAAACACCAGAAGCACATTTCAGGGGTGACACGTACCATCAAAATCAAACAAGGTGGGGCCACGGGATGGTGAGCCGGGGACATCTTGGACAGGAGGCCAGGGAACCTAGCAGGAACAGGCCTTCCGATGTCAAGAGTCTGTGCTTCCTCCTACACCTGCGAGTTGAGCCGGCCCTTCCCAGCCATTTTTCAAGGGCCCTGCAGCTATGATTACGCTCTGTGGTTTCTGGGCAGCTCCCCCGTTACCGTTACCGAAGGGCAGGGTAGCTGTGTCTGAGGAGCACGCAGAAGGCAGCCGTCTGGATGGGTGGGCTGTCGAGATTGAGGGGTCCCTGTCCCCAGAGACCCTGCCCAAAGGGTCCCCCCACTGCTCACCTGCTGGGGTTCTGCCCTGTCCTCATACAAACCGGAGAGGGCCATCTGGGGCTGAGGAACAGGGGCCCTGGACTCCCCACGGGCGAGTAGGCTCCTAGGGGCATCAGTGAAATGAAGCAAAGTGCCCAGGGTGGCCTGGCCCCAGAAGAGAGGCCATTTCTTACTGTGGCCCCCTGGGCACTTCTGGGTCCCACAAGGCTCAAGTCGCCAGCCCTCGACAGTGGGTCATTCGCTGATTTCTACAAGAGTTACTTACCCAAGGGCCTCTGAGCATCGTGCCTGGGCTTCACTGTGGGAGGATGAGACCGTAGAGAAGAAATACAGGAAAAGGGGTGTAGGACCGACCGCAGATCCTGGGAGAAGGCATTGGGACCCCGGGGACCTGCACACCAGCCATTGGACTGTGCTCTGCAGAATAACCCCCGGACCGTCCCACACTGCTGCCGGGTGGTGTGGACGCCACCCCCTGACACACACATCCCCCTCCCCCCCCCCCCCCC